GGCCACTTCATAAGATATGGTCAGCCCCGTCTCTACTAAAAATACAAAAAAAATTAGCTGGGCATGGTGGCACGTGCCTGTAGTCCCAGCTACTCGGGAGGCTGAGGCAGGGGAATTGCCTGAACCCAGGAGGCGGAGGTTGCGGTGAGCCGAGATCGCGCCATTGCACTCCAGCCTGGGTAACAAGAGCGAAACTCCATCTCAAACAACAACAACAAAAAGATATGGTCGAAAAAAAAAAAAAAAAAAAAAAAAACGTAAGAAATTTCATAATTGCAAGGTCAGATTAAGTAGATGAGTGTCTCCCTTTTCTTTAAGGAAAGCACCTGAGAATACATACACACTGAAATTTTTAGAAAATAAAAGTCTATCAAATCGTAAATCTTATTTACAAGGTTCTGCCAGTTTCTAGCAATGTGGCTTCAAGCAAGTTTAGCTTGCCTTCAGCCTCATTTTCCTCATCTGGACTATATTAGCACCTATCTGCCAAACTCAGAATTTGGTAATACGACTAAGTGCCTAGCTCTTTTATCTCAACAAGGAAAAAAGGGGTTGGGAGATGTTTAGTGTTACTGGGTCTAAAAGTTCTGTTTAATGGAGGTCTAAGAAAGGTGTTTAAATTGCTAAGACCAGACATAAAAGTAGAAAAGAGCAAACACACAAGGTTACAGGGAAAATGGTTCCATCTTCTATATTCTTAATCCATGAAGTTAAAACAATTTGAGAGACAGAGACAAGAAGAGGGTCCTCCTTTTGAAATCCATAACAGATACACCACTGGAGAAAATGCTAACAGTTTCCCCCCCGCCTCAACCCCCTGATAGACAATCAAAAGAAAAAGGGGTTGGGGGAGGAGAAGATTAAGAAAATTGTTACTATCAGAGTTGATGGCTCAGGTAGGTAACTGTTAAAATGCTTTTCCAACTCCACTTTTCAGTGTGTCATTCTGCTTATTTGCATGTACACATGCCACTGCCAACTACTTCCTGTAATTAACCAAGATTAAATCATGATTCATGATGAAAACAAAAACGTTTTTACTTTAACTATAGCTTAATAGCATATTAAAAATATATAAATTTAAAGAGTACTCAGCTTAAATATTTAGTAAAATTTAATAGTTTTGGCTTTGTCCATTCTTCTTGCATGGGCATACATACTGATTTGCATTTCAGAGTATATGCTTATAGTATAAGCAAAAATGAAACAAAAAAATTCTAAAACATATGCCCCATGGCTTTGTGGTCCTCCAATCAGAACTATCAAGAACTTACCTTCAAGTTTTTTAAGTAGCAATTCTATCACAGATAAAGCTTCTGTTCTCACAGATGAGTAGGTCTTATTTTCTAAAAAGAAAAATCAACAGTTCATATGGCATGCCTGAAAAACACAACCTCCAAGATTAAATCTGTCCTACTGAAAGAAAGATGGCCAGAAATTACAACTGTAGAAAAACCAAAAATATTTGTTTTTTGTTTGTTTGTTTGTTTTTTAAAGGAAGCTTCCCTTTGCTAATTATCAACAAATACTTGAAATGTGCTAATGTCCACAGTCTTTACTTTGGGAAAACAAAATCCTGCCAGCCAAATATACCAATCACCACAACAAATGGCAATATTTAAAAGATCCATTTTAGAAGTGGGAGATCAAAAACAATATCTCAAATACAAAATCATCTTCACATCACACATAAGAACAATCCTTAGGTCTGCATGACCCTCCTCATTTTACCAAAGAACATTATATGACCCAGTATTTAGGCTGATCAGGGATACCTGGAACCCAGTAAAGGTAAGTCTGTTGGCTGCCAATTCTTTATCTGTAAAAGCATGTTACCGCCAGCAATGGCAACTGAAACATGCTTCCTTGGCATCCACTCTTTGACATGGCATCTGGTTCACAGTGAAACTGTCTACCAAAAAAATCAACACACAACCAAGCCCAAAGCAGGGTAGACATGAGATGAACCTGTATCATCTTGTTATGCTACAAAGCACAGAAGTGCTACAAGGAATGACGGTGATCTGTCAAAGGACACAGAAGTCAGCTTAAAAAGGCTTCCACTGGCCAAATCTGGAACAATTTGAGTAACAAATTAGATTTGGAAAAAGAAATTATAAACCATTTGAAGGGAGAAGGAATCTATGAATCAATGCCAGGAACAGATAAATATGCTAAATCTAGACAAGAAATTTTAAAGAAGAGGAACATTATTTGAATGATCTTAAGGTCTGTTCCCACAGGCTACTTATTAGTCACAAAAGGAAAATACAGTAACTATCCAGCAGAGAAAACTGATAATACCTTGACCAGGTAATCAAAATTAACATCACAATGATGACAGATGGACACTGTGTGCCTCTTATTGTGAGACGGACACATCACTTATGTAATTATCCCAACTGGGAATTCATAACCTGGATCTAATCATGAGAAAATATCAGGCAAACACTAAATGAGAAACATTCTGTTTTTTTTTTTTTCTTCAGAAAGGGAAGTCCAGGGGACTTTATTCTTCAAACTTGTCAATGTCATAAGATAAAGAAAGGCTGAGGAAGTGTTCCAGATTGAAGAAGACTAAAAAGATATGACAACAAAATTCAATAAATAATCCTGAACTGGAGGCCAAGACCGGCAGATCACTTGAGGTCATGAGTTCGAGACCAGCCTGGCCAACGTGGTGAAACCCTGTCTCTACTAAAAATACAAAAATTGGGAAGCTGAGGCAGGAGAATCACTTAAACCTGGGAGGCACAGGTTGCAGTGAGCCAAGATGGCGCCACTGAACTCTGGCCTGGGTGACAGAGCAAGACCCTATCTCAATCATCATCATCATCATCATCATCATCCTGGACTGGATTCCCTAATGGAGGGGAGGAAAAAAAAATCCTATAAAGAACATTACTGGCTGGGTGTGGTGGCTCATGCCTATATCCCCAGCACTTTGGGAGGCCAAGGTGGGTGGCTCACTTGAGTTCAGGAGTTCGAGACCAGCCTGGCCAACATGGTGAAACCCTATCTCTAAAAAAAAATACAAAAATTAGCAGGCCGTGATAGTGGACACTTGTAATCCCCGCTACTTGGGAGACTGAGGCAGGAGGACTGCTTGAACCTGCGAGGTGGAGGTTGCAGTACGCCGAGATCACGCCACTGCACTCCAGCCGGAGTGACACAGCGAGACTCTGTCTCAAAAAAAAAAAATAAAAATAAAAGAACATTACCAAATCAAGTGAACAAACCAGAATATGAACTAAACATTTGCTTTTAAAAACTGCATCCATGTTTACTACCTAAAGTTGATCACTGTACTGTGGCACACTAAATAACTGAGGAACAAGGGACCTGATATAAGAAAATACTTTCAAATGGTTCAGGAGAAAAACATGTATATAGAAGTCCAAATGACAAAGCAAATGGCACAAAATGTTAACAGATGATACAGGGTAAAGTGTATACATACTGCAGAGTATTATATGTACTGTTGTTGCAACTGTTCTGTAAGTTTGAATTTACTTTCAAATAACAATTTTGTAAAAATACTTGATGAAGGTTTTTCTAAACTGGATGCTAAAATCCTGTTATAGTTCCAGATTTAAATGTTCCAGTTAAGGGGTACACATGGAGTATATTAAGTAGCAGAGTCCAGTAGTTGTTTCAGAAATTTAGTTCCTAGGAGAAGATAAGAAATATTTGAAGCTCAGCTCCTTAGCTTTAAAATTAGGACTCCCTTATCAGTTTAGTTTACTACACTCACCTAAAGAATATGTGATTGATTTACAAGTTTCAAGCAGAATTTCAGTCAAAGCCTCAGGATCTGCATGTTCTTCTTCCAAAAGCATTAACCTATACAAATCAGAAAGCAAGGTATAAATGCTAATTATTAAGAAACAGTCTAAAACTTTCCTGTCACAATTTCTATTTGTATGTATCATTGTCATTTTGGCTACTAGTTTTTAAATGTATAAAAATTCCATCAATTATATAGAAAATGCTGCAGGGGGGGAACAAAATTCAGAACTGAACCATGAAGCAATTTACCCCTGAAAAAAGGCATTCATTGATTGCAGCACTCCTAGCTGCACTTTCCACGTGCTGAGTTTTAGCCGTTCACACATCAATTTGCACAGCTCCTGACGATAACAACCTGGGGAAAAAAAAACAAGGTGGGACAGAGCACAGAAGAGTATAAAAGAGCGAGATAGTATACATGAGGGACAGACAGAGAGAGCAAGAGAAAGGGAGAGGAACACAGAAAGAGGGAAGGTGGGGAGGATAAGAAAGAGAAAAGCAGGAGAAAGAGAAATAAAACAATAAATACCTTTAATTAAAGCCACTGAAACTTCCTCCAAAACTTCAGCATGACTTTGCACTCAATCCCCAAACAAATTTCCTTGATCAGAAACTGTCCCCACAAAGGTGCAATATAATTGTTCACAAATATTCACTTTCAAGGCATATGATCCTCCAGGGAACCAAGAAAGCATTTTAATCATACTCCCTTTGCCCCTCAAAACTCTGGGAATGACAGCCAAAGACAGGAGAACTCTGGAGGCCAGGCACTCCTCTCTAGATGCTCACAAGCTTCTGCAATTTGCAGGTTTACCGAGAGTCAACAGTGCTTTATCATAAACCTGTTATGCCAATCGCAACTGTTATTATAATTATATAATTAATATTATGCCAACTGATGAATCAGCAGAAAACTCAACAAAAAAGTTATTTTTAATTACTGTAGGATTTAGTAGGGTTCAAACAAATGTAAAGATGGGGGGAGGAAATAAAAAATCTAGAATTCTGCACTAGGATTGCCTCTTAAGAGCTTGAACTTTCTCTGTTTTTAAGAAACAAAGCCCAGAAATTGTAAATATATATGAGAAGCCAATGGGTAACAATTAGTTCTTAAAGAAAAGTCCTTGGTTCTCAATAAATGCACATTTCCATGTCTTATATTAAAATAAACTGCTTTATGTTTGTATCACGTTTCTCATATAATTCCCTACTTTAATTTTCTCTACCTATCAAAGAAGAGTTAATAGTCTCTATGGTGTCATATTAGTGGACTTCCACTGCAGTCTATAACATAATATTAAGAAATAAGACCACTTACAAATTTGTATCTTCTGAGAAACCCTTCCTATAAACACAGCAAATATGTAAGTTCACACAAAGGATGGCAGGGCTCAAAGAGAACCTTAACTCTGACTCTAGACATAGCCAATCACAAATAATCAACAATACCTTTTATAACATTCAATAGTATTGTCACTGGGCATGGAGGCTCATACCTATAACCCCAGCACTTTGGGAGGGAGGCCAAAAAGTGGGAGGATCACTTGAGCCCAAGAGTTTGAGACTAACCTGGGCAACATAGCAAGACTTCACCTCTTTAAAAAAAAAAAATTAGGTGGGCGGTGTGGCACACACCTGTAGACTCAAATATTTGGGAGGCTGAGGCGGGAAGATCACTTGAGCCCAGGAGGTAAAGGCTGCCAAGGACTGCACTCCAGTTTGGGCAACAGAGCAAGACCCTGTCTCAAACAAAGAATACTAAGATCTTCAGTGGGATGCACTGTAGGACCCAACACACAGCAAACTTAACAGGTAGCATCATCACTTCTTGGCCTTTTGGCTAAGATCAAGTGTAGAGGGTAGCATCATCCCAAGGTTAAGGCCCTGTCAGAGGACTCCAAACTAACTGCCACCTAATCCAATAATAAAGGTTTACTGTTTAATCTTTGGGAAATACACGTCCAGTTCTGAAAATTGTCCAAATAGTAATGAGTTTTTCACTGAAACAGGGATTTTGCCTGCTTACTGAACACTTGGTAACAAGGCCATTCATTTTAGGGCAAAGAAACCCCATGAATTAACTTTGTGGATTACTCAGAATAGAGCTATGATCATCAAGAAGACGAGCAGAACTCTTCTATCTATCAAACTAGCTGCATAAAATGTATCATGGTTATTACAGGTGGAACTGCGCCCCCAAAATTCTATGTTGAAATTCTATCCCCCAGTACGTCAGAATGTAGGGCCTTTAAAGAGGTCATATGAGTTGGGCCCTAATCCAGTGTGTCTCGTGTCCTTATAGGAAGAGGTAATAGGACAGAGACACCAAAGACCACGTGAAGACACAAGTAGAAGACAGCCATTCCCAAGCCAAGGAGAGCGGTCTCAAAGAAACTAACCCTGCTGTCACCTTGATCTCAGACTTCTATCCTCCAGAATTGTGAGAGAATAAATTTCTGCTAAGCCACCCAGTCTGTGACACTTTCTTACATCAGCCCTAGCTGCAATGGTACAATGACCAGTGAGATGACATGCTCATGTAGACATAAAATTTCCACTGGATAATTCTCATTACTAATCAATCAGGCTCGATAAGAAACAATAACTATAACTTGTCATACAGAAAATCTTTGCTCTCATTAAGTAACCTCTGGTTACAGCACTTCTTCAAATGTGGTTTCTGGCGCTTACGTTGGGTCTCTGCGTTTCGGGGCCAGGCTTTGCCCAGGCTTTCAAAGGCACCCAGCAGATATTCCAGCTGGAGCTCCTTTTCCTTCTCATTCTCATCTTCATTTTTGGTTGTCCGGACTCCACTGCTTTCAAGTGAATTCTAGGATATATCAAAGAAAAGAAAAGAAAATTTAATATTTTCTTCTTCAAAGTTACAGGTATACTATTAAAGCTATCAGGGTACCAGAGCAGGAGACGTTAACCAAGAGTTAACGGTAAATTCTCTACCATAAGCTTCCCTGTTTACAATAAGAATTTATAACCAGAATACTGTACTTCTAATAAATTCAAGAAATACTTTACAGGAATCTGTAAACAAAAGCTAAAAAATACTCCATATGTAGTCTTTTGAGCATAATATAAGAAGACTTATGTTAGAATCAGATATTAAAGATGGAAGAAACTCAGTAATGATCTAAATCCAAACTCTTTTCTTAATAGATAGGGAAACAGAGGCTAAGAGAATCAACTGGTCTGGTCACTGGTGATGTAACCAACTTAAAACACAAGTCTCCCAAAACCATATCCCATTACTATGTTTGTAATGAAAATTATTTAAATAGTCTTATTACTGAAAGAAAACAACTGCAAATTAGCAGCAATAAGAAATAAGAATGTTACTTAAAATATTTCACGTTTCACAAATAAATAGGTAAACTACACTCCTTTTTCAGAGGGACCAGTGCCCAAATTTAAAAAATGAGTATTCCATTTTCCACACGAAACCTGAGTCATTTTTTGACCCAAATCCTCCACTATGTGGCAGAGGCAATTCACATGGCACACTGAACTTCTTGTCTTTAGGATGGCTGGGGTGGCTTCTGTACAGGCTTGCAAGGAAAAGCTGATTCTGACAAAAACTGTTCATTCACTACCAAATCCACCTTCCCCTTCTCCCATGGAAGGCAAATGGACATCCAGAATGAAGACTCAGTCTGCTGCCAGGTGTGCCTAAGTACTGACCAACGGGATGGATGTAAGTGAAAGTGCTGTCTAGCAGTGCCCTGAAACTCTCCTCAAGAGAGAACTGGCATGTCCACTGTGATCCTTCATCCTTGCTTCACCTCTTCTGCATTCCTGCCTGGAACACAAACAGACTGTGGACCATGAGGCCAATGATCACACCCTAGAAATGGCAGAGCTGGGAGCTGTAAAGAGCCAGAATACCTGAATGCTTTGTGATGCTCCCAATGCTATGTGAGAAACAAACATCTATCTTGTTGAAGGCCATATTTTGGAATTTCTCTGCTACTTGCAGCTAAACTAATCCTAATAATTAGGTCATAGGGGAAAACAATTTTTTAACTTTTTAAAGTGTAAACCAGAACTGAGGATACAGGCCGTATTACCTTCTTGATGAGAGGTATGACAATGTCAGAAAACTCCTGGAATCTGTCTTCTTTGGTGGCCTTCAAGACATCAGCTGCACAGCTGATTGCTACAATCTTGTATTTGATATTCTCTTTGCTACATTCCTTCAGAACAGCTTGAAGAATTTCATTTGTGCTAGGTTGATTGGGCACAGACTTCTCCAGCTCTGCACTACAGGATCCACAAAAGCATCAGAAGTTAATAAACGCTGCAGCTTTCAGGTTCAGTTTAAGAAATGGCATCTTCACTGAAAGGACATTTACCTGCAAGCTGTCACCACACAGGCAATGGCTTTCAATAACTCTTCCTATGGGGTTGAAAGATGGATACAATTAGGCCCAAACATGTCATTTATACTCTCTACACTATGATTAAAATTACCTTAGGAATTCTTATGACAACAAAAATTAACAAGTCACCATATCTTTAATGCATAATTTTAAGCACATTCACCAAGTTTTACTCCAAACCATGGACGCAGGATAATTATCTTCATCCCCATTTCATAGAAGCCTAAACAGCTGATTTGACCAAGGTCTCACAGACAACAGTGTCAACCAGAGCATGAGAATGTTGTCTAACTCCCCGTCCAGTACTACTTCAGTGCTGCATGAGCCACTATTGACAACACAAAGATCATTATGCTGTCACAATCTCATGTTTCCCACTGAGTGTTCACTGTAAGAATCCTACTAATAGCGCTTGTGTAAAAAAATAACTGTTACTAATTCACAGGTCCCAGAGATGGGCATCTTCAGCCCCAGGTTTAGAAGCAGTCCACCTTGCTACTCTATTTCACATATGCCCAATTCTGATCTGTTCATGAGGTCAACAGGTACAAAATGAGGACAAGTTGGTTTAATATATAACTTGGAAGGTTGAATATGAAAAATGTCTCTATCTCCAGTATTACTGTCCATTATACAAGGCCACGTAGGTTACAGTTTGAGAGGAAATACCACAGTTAATCAGGCAAGGTTTACCCAAAGCTTCCCACTGCCTAGGAAATCTGGTTCACAAAAATAATCCAACAGAAGTTACACATAATCAGATTCTTATTAAGGAAAATGAAAGATGAAGTCAGAATTTCTTTAACTGGGCATGAATGGTTCCTTTACCTTTCCTGCCCATGTTCTTCCAGCCAGGCCCTGCAGCAATGCAGTAAGTATCATTCCCAGATATGGAGGTACTAGAGAGCTAGTTTGTTTTGCAATTGATGCCATGGCAACTGCACCCTGGGCTTTCATTTTCCAGGATTGAGACTGTAAAGCCTTCTGGGTAATAGTAATCAACTCCTGCAGGTATAATCGAATGCCACCAAAAGAACCTGGGTTATAAAAAGGAAAATTGAACAACCTTTAAGTGACAAGAAAAATTAACTGATTTTTCTAAGTCTGAAAAAATGTCAGTGACGAATAGTCTAAAAGCATGATTCTCAACTGTTAAAATACATCACTCTCTCAAAGGGAGAGAAAGTGTGTTGGTGGTATGGCTTATTCTCACAGTAGTAGAACTTTGAACTTCAGTGCCCACAAGAGGTTATCACACAAATGGGCATCATCCATTAATACGTGACAAGGTGAAAAACACATTTAGAAAATGACTGAAAAATAATACTCTAAGGCCACATAAATTCACACTCTCAATTAAAAATGTAAAGCTCTCCTTGCTCAGAGAGTTTATATTCTCTCATGTGGGCAGTGATGAATGAGTAAAGACAAAAATCCTGAGTGCCAACCTTTAGAACTCAGCAATTTGGATGAAGTTAAAACTAAATGGAATGCATGTTGTTAAGGTTCTGGGAAAGTAACTTTAGAGGAGTTTATGAATAAGGAATGCAAGTAAATGCATAGACATTTATTGTGATATAGCTGTGATTCCTAAAAAGCAGGTTTAACACAGGCACCACTACTAACCAGGTACATTTTCCTGCCACACTTCAGTCCATAAGTTACATTCTTCTTTTTCGGATTTCTCCTCATCAGCAATTTCATGCATGCCTAAAAATGCCAGAGGCAGGACTTCTTTTGCATGATTCTTTAATACATCAGGGCTGTATCGTCCAATAGCATGAATAGTCAAAGCACAAGAGGTCTTGTAGATAGGTTCTGAAAAGGAGAAA